AATTTCAAGAGGTTTCTAATTCCTTTAAATTCATTTAAATTTTGGTGAAGGCCCTTGAAAAGCAGTCATTAAATTAAATTTTTATCAGCTTTCATTTTGATCCTTAACTCCTCTGTTGAATGAGCAGCTGGGAGGCTTCTGGGAGTAAAAAGCTTGGCCAGGAAACTGTGTCCATCCTTTTGCTAAGGTACAACTATCTGGAAGTACTTGAAGCTGAAAAGTATTTAGATAAATACAGAGTTCAGCTTCCAGCATGTTTTGCTTTGCATCTTCACTTCCAACTTCTCCTTTGCAATCTATTTAAAGAAGCAAACTAAAATCCTGCTGTGAGGACAGGATGCATGATCTAATCAATGTTTTCTATGTATGATGACCTCTAATTCTCCAATTATTTCTTTCCAGTTTATGTAGATATAGTGTGGGAGATGTCTTTCTGTGTTTTGCCACACAATGAACTGCAATTCATTATCAAAAATACGTGATGTAGAGTCTCATTCCTCCTAAGTTTTCTTGCATTTAGGATTTTTCTGTCTTTAGGATAAGTTACTTTCTGTTCACACGTATTTTATGTGCACGATGTCTGTTCTCCTGAAATTACTGTTTCCAAGAACATTTTAAGTTCTTTCTAACTTAACATGCTTTTAAGGGCGTTCACTTATTTTGAGTCAATGCTACAGCTGAAAAACAGGAAAGATACTACTTGCATGCAAAATAGCCTGTTCTAGTTCTGGGCTGTATTTGCAAACTGATATTAACCAGCTTAAATTGATGGAGTCTCCCACTGACTTGTATTAAAATGACTCAACTTGGCTTAGTTGTTGAGATGTTAGTCCAATTTTTCGGAGCTTATGTGTAGTTGGAAATGTAACATGTTGAGCTTGCTCTCTAATGTGCCTCTGATACTTAATGCTGTCATTACAGGTTTGTTACAAGCACATCAGACTTTCTTTTACTGTAGTCTCGCATAATAAAAATCTGATGGAGTTCAACCAACTTACATGCCTTACATAGTCTTTTGCAACATTTCTTTGGCATACTTTAACTGATCATATAATCGCTCCTTTCTAACTCCTGTCTAAGAGATATCTTCAGATAATAGATAGATAGATAATAGATATCTTCTAATGGATATCTTTGGATATCTATTTCACAAGCTTTACTGATTCCCGAGTAGCTGGCGCTTTCAAGGCCTTATTTTGCCATTTTATACAAGCAGTGGGAAGGAATGCATGGGTTTGGCATTAAGGCACTTGATCCAGCCACTATAATTTATCCATACAGAAGAGTGATAGTAATTGTCTGGTACATGTAGTATAGTGCCCCCTTTTCCACACGCTACTTTAATTTCTGCAGTTTGCAATGGCTGTTGCCATCTTACGTCTGACTTGAACTCAGTCATAGCATTGTAGGACAGTTCTTGACAACATGGGTTTTTTTCCTGCAGTTCAATACTGCATTGTCACTGCGTGCATACACAGGTGCATGCTCTCTCTCTTTATATCAGCATAAATATATATGCTGGTAATGCAGAATGATAGTGAGATTGAAACAGTAAAGTAGTGTACTCTCAGAATTATTTGTACAGCCAATATTTAGTTACTGGAAAGAAGCAGGTCATGCATTAGTAGCTCTAACCTGTTATTTAACCCGTGGTCCCTGCAGACTGCAAATTTCTCTCTGCCATATTCGATGAAAATTCCTTTGTCTTTGAGCATCAAGAATTACTGCCATGTAAAAAACGCTGAGCAAAAGTGTTGCAAGGAGATGGCTTTGCTGGATATCATTTTTGGTAGAAGAATACAAAGGCCTTTCTACCATGCTACCATGAAATGACTGAATACTACTTATTAATTTTTCAGGACAGCTGAAGTTTGCAGAAATCATGGTTGATGGTAGTGAAGACCTTGGTTAGATTGACACACATCTTGCATAGGTATCTCTCTTTTTTCTTTTTTTTTTTTCTTCTCATTTCTTTTTAGTTTCAAAAAACATATTAACTGCACCCAAACCTGACCAAAAGCTGAAGTGACTTTCTAGAAAAATTTTTTTTCACAATCTAGTTGGTAATTCTGACCATTTTAGAAAGGATTTTTCTAGCAGTTGAGAGAATTAAGGCTTCGTTATAGCTATCGCAGCTTCAGCAGTCATCTTCCTGTTTTCTAGCGCTTTTTCAGATATGAATTAATACAAATCTTATTTCATGTTTTTTAGCTAGTTTTTTAATGTGAATTCAGTCAACAATATAGAATTTGCCTAAAGCACTTCAAGTCCTATGGTGGTTCTTCGAAAATAATAGGAGAATAAACAGTGTGTTGAATTTTGAATGGGTGTAACTTAGTACCTTTTTAAAAGCTGCCTATTGCCGTGTTCTGGCAAACAGGTCTGGAAGAACTCAAGATGTTTTTACTGTCATAAACAAAAGTTAACTGTATGTGGTTGGCATATAGGTCTAGTCCATTTTTAAAAACCTGTGAGAAAGAGAGAATATTGAATTTTCCACAGACAGTCTGGTCTGTTGCTTCCGTAATCTTTACCACAGGATATCTTAATGTCCAGTGTTTATCTTGTAGGCTAAAAATCAACCTGGATACTCCCTATTCCATCACTGCATCTTTAAAAAGTTGGGAAAGCATCTGTTTGTAGACATTCTACAGCTTTTTTATTGCATGGCTTTAAGGGACAAGTGAAGATATGTCAGTATTTAAATGAAAGTGCATACCACTTAAACAGTTCAAATTTAAAACTGATTCCTTGGGCCTATACTTACACTATCAAAGAGCTCTTTTCAACTTCTAGTTGAAAAGATTGCTGTACAGACTAAACTTTACAACTAAATCAGTATTTTCAGTGTCTTAGATCAATTCAAACTTAATTCCAATATCCTAATTCACTGAATATGTAAATATTAGTGGTCACTCCATTGCAAAAATTGAAAACAGACTTAAAAAAAACCCCAAAACCAACCTATTTCTGATACTAGTTAGCAGGGTGAGAAATGTTTGTACTTCAACCCTCCCTGGAAAGTCTGAGGCCAGATTCTGAAGTTTTTCTGGTGCCACAAGATGCAGATAGTTGCAGATTGAAATCCTTTACCGGCATCCTTAAGAGTGTGACCAGACAGGCATTCATCAGTTCACAGATTACCATTTATTAATGTAATAACACAATCGTAAATCCAAAATATTTTTGATATTTTGTGAAGTAATCACCTGAGGTAGTTTTACTTTATTACTGTAATTAAATTCCCTTTGAGCTTTAGTTAACTGTATTTTGAATTAGTACACTTGGATGTAAAGCATAGTAACATTAGTTAATATAAAGATGTCATGAAGTATTGTTCATTTATTTTTATATTGTTACGTTTGTCTGAAAAGGTGTGCCAGATAGCACTTCCCTGTTTCCCCTTCTCTCCCCCACACTGGGGAGGCCAGAAAAGTCCCACAGCCTTACAGATCAATAGGTTTTAATGGCTTGCTAAAGATCAAGATTAAGTATTTCCTTAAAATAATCCATTCATAAAGCCTGCACAGACTAAATGGACTTAAGCCAAGCTTTTCTCTTGGTAAATCCACAATCTTTAATCAAGGTGAAAAATCACCAATTAGAATATCACTCTACCCTACTTGAGGCCTGACACTCTTTAGCAATTCCTGCCTGGAATACATTGCTAACGTGCTGCAGTTTCTCTGGGTATTTTCATTGAAAATGGGAGTCTGTTATTAATAACAGCATTCACGTGCATGTGGCTGTAGTTGGGTATGTTTGCAAAATACCAGTGTTGTCACAAGCAGTGGATGCTTTGCAGAGCACGGTTTAGGTTCCTCGCTTTCAGTAATTCTCTTTTGCTGTGGGAAATATTCTGGATGTGAAGGTTTCATTTAGTCTTGCGGTAACTAAGTGGCTGTTCAGGTTAGATAAATGCCTAGCATTTAAAGTAGTTTTGTGTTCTTTTTCTAGTGAACTTCTTGTAAACTTTTTTTGTCTAGGTATGACCTTTACAGTAAAACTTCATAACACGTAGCTTTTCGTATGGTTTACTTATGCTCCTCTTTTTCACCATATTTTTATGTACATTGCATAACGTACTGCATACTGGATAAGTTGAACTGCTTTGGAAGTATTTTTATTTAAAAATAAAAATAATAAAAAACCCAAAACAAAAAAAACAAACTGGCAGAAAGTCAGAAATATGGTCCTCAGCTGGGGATAAGACAGAATCACCAGCAAGGTTGCTGCAGAAGTGAGGTGAGACGGGGAGAAAGTTGGCTGTGTGCGGTCAAGTGGGACCACCCTTGAGTATAAATCTTTTTTTGTGCTTGCTGATTCATGGGGAACTAAAAGGATGACCATTGGCTTTTACGTTTGCAAATACCGTGAGCAAAAACTTGAGGCAAGTCAGACTGATGTTGGATAAGTCATTATTTGAATAACAAAACTTAAACTTGCTATTTGTTGACTTTGCTTTTAGTAAGTACTCGTGAACAGTGTTGTGTTCACATACTTTTGTCTAAGATACTGAGTCTGGGCAGCAGATTCAATATATTCAGGTACAGACAATTTAAAATGTAGAGGATCAAGGCTTTATTTTGCATGTAACTTGACTGGTTGAAGATCATATGTTCAGTGTTTTTGGCAGGTAGTTATTGCAGTAGTGACAAGCACTATGTAACTAACTCCTTATAAATATAATAAACCTTCTTTCCCCCCTTCTCTTTCATAGGTAATGTACAAACGAATCCTGCAGCAAGCAGGTTTTATACAGTTTGCACAGCTTCAGTTCCTTGAAGCAAAAGAACTCTTCAGGTAATTGTGTGACAAGAAATTTATTAATTTATCTTCTTTAAATAAGGAGTTAGTGTTCTTGGTTTTAAAAACTTAATCACTTGAATGTTTTTTGATGCGGATGTGAATTCACCCTGATAAAATGGTTTTGTTGGGGGTAAAAACAGAGTAACATTGAAACAACTTTATAACTGAAGAGTTAATGCAACTGATTTTTTTGGTATACTAACATACAATAGCATTAAGGCTGTAATCCTGTAATCTGAGTGTTGTATATGTGGAGATTTTTTTACTTTATGCCCATGAAGGTCAACGCTTTATTATTGAGCCTGTGATTTACAGCATGAACATTGCCTGGTTCTTCTTTTTTTTTTTTTTTTTTTTTTTTT